CCCGGCCCGGGGAGCGGCCGCTGTGACACCCGGGGCAGAGCCTGCAGCCCTCAGGAACAACAGCGCTTGTTGTATCTGCCTCCCCTGCCAGCACCGGGCACTGAGCAGGGCTGGGGGGGTGCTGGGGGTGATGCTGGGGCCGCACAGCCAGAGCAGCAGGGAGGCTGCTTAATGAACACATCACTGGATGCCCAATCCCCGGGACCAGAGCTCAGTCCCTCCGCAGCCTCCTCAGCCCCACCAGCTTCCTGCTCTCCAGGATCACCTCCAGGCTTAGCCTGGTTACCTGTCCCAGCCTGGACACGCTCCAGGAGCAGCCGCGGTTTGGGCAGGAGCCCCCCCAAGATCTTCCTGCCCGTGGCCAGAACACGGAGCCGGGAACAAAACCCCGTCCCCAGGCACGACGCAGAGTGAGGGGCCGGTCCCTGCTCCCGGCAAACCTCGCCCCACAGCCGGCCCGGCGAGAGCCCGACCTCAGCTCCGGAAATCCTTGCCTCCTGGGCGAGGTGAGGAGGTCATTTGAGGATCACCGCGAGGGACAGGAGGCAGCTGGCAGGGAACAGCCCGTGCCCCGGGGAGCCTGAGGCAGCCCGGGAGAGCCTGGGGAAACAGGCAACGCCAGAGCATCCCAAGCTGCCCACAGAGATTAAGAAAGCTCAGAGGTGCCACAGCCACCCTGAAAGCACCTGAGAAAGCCACCGGTGCTGGGCACAACGGGGCAGCCAGGACTGAGCTCCTGGTGAGCAGCCCTGAGCTCTGCAGAGCTCTGCTCCCACACCCGAGCTGTTGGTGCCTCTGCAAAGCTCAGCTCAAACGCTGCCACCAGCTCTGTGGAGCTCAAAGCTCTAAAGACCCAGCAAAAGCTCCAACTGCTGCCAAGACTCCTCCACTGAGACGCTTGTAAACTCTTCTAAACTACTTCAACCCCACCAAGCCAGGCATAAGCCTCCACAAAACCCTTCTGACTGACTTGAAAGCTCTCTGAAGGGAGGTGGGCAGGCCTGGAGGGCTCTGAAAGGCCCATGGCCACGTCTGTATCTGCTCTTGGCAGCCTGCACCTGAAGGTCAGGGGAAGGAGACCTGAAGGCACCAGCCCAGGGCTGCACAGTCTGGGAACAGGGAATCTCCTTAGCCAGAAGGGCTCATAGTTCTGATCACACAAAGATTAGAGGGCCCCAGCCCTGCACCTGCAGGGGGATCCCAGAGCATCACCTGAGCTGGGACTGTTCACACTGGTGCTTGGCAGCACAGGCCAAGCAGGGAGAAGTGAGGAAAGAGGAAGGAAAGGTGGTTGTGGCAAGTGTGGGGATTTCCCTTTTCATTGAAGCATCTTCCTCATTGTTGCTGTCAGGAGGGTTGTAGCCACAGGGCTTGTGGAACATCACTGGAGATGCCCAGGGCCACCAAGCATGACCAGGAGCACTGGCAGGTGACAAACACAGGCCTAAGAACATCAGTTACCACCCACTCATCCCATGCCATGACTGCCATAGAAATCTGCCTCCTGCTCCAGCAGGACTGTTGAATAATGTCTCCTAAAAAAAAACAGGACCGAGAACTTGACCTGGACTCTATTTGTCCATTAGAAAAGAACAGTGACAAGACACTGAGACATTGCTTAAAGTATCTGAGAAAACTTTTCTACCCACAGGAAAAAGATTCTGGCTCCAACTAACAAGAGGTCACAAGAATTCTTGAAGGCAAACCAACTCCTTGCAGCCAGAATCCCTGCTGCACGTGTACAGTCCTGCATGGGACATGGAGCTGTTACCCCTCAGGTTGGTTAACACACTGGATCTTCCCTACAGCCATTGCATGGCTTCCTCATGCAGGATTCTGCAGGGAATACCTAACAGTGCAGGATCACAGCCTCAAACATCTGCATGTGCCAAAACCAAATCCGTGGAGCTCAGATCAGCCAGAGAAGCATCATCCCACCCTGCTGGGGAAAGGGGACAGACACTGACAGTGTTAATGGCAACAAAACTTTATTGAATACTTACAAAAGGGTTAAAATCATAAACTTGCTGCATGGTCAGCAGCCAGACCACCTGCCCCCCCCCACACTGTGCTCTCAGTTCTCAAAGTCACACGATGGGCAGCAGGTCCCTCTGATGCCAGGAGGGGAGAGCCAGACTGCTGAGCTCGTGCGTTTGAAGTACCGGGGTTTGTTCTTGCCAAAAATATCCTCCAGCCTGGGGCTTGGAATCACCCCAAAGAGCTGGTCCACATCCACAGGGTGATGGTACTGGTGTGTAATGGCTTGATTAAGCTGAGTCCCTATGGAAACAACCACATCAGAGAAGCAGACTCGTAAATATGTTTTCAGTGCCCTTTTCCTTAGAGCCTGCGGGACCAGATGATCCCTGGGCTCCCTCCAGCCTGGCATTCTGTGGCAGTTACTCTTCCCCCACACCTGAAAGGCTCTTCCCCGTACAGCCAGTGTGATGAAGTTTTCCTGCTTGTGGCAAAGCTCTGAGCCTCACACCCACCACAGGGTGCCAGCAGTGCTTGCTGTGGGTTGCTCAGCCCACCAGACATTCCCCAACGCCTTGGTTCACCCCCAGGGGGATGGGCTCTCTCACTACTAGGGAGCCCCCACCACTCTCTTCACACCCTCAGATCCAAGCCCATGCACAGAGGCCTTGGTTTATTTTCAGCACAGCAGGACTTGCTGGAGAGCAGCTCCAGCCCCCCCGGTGCCAGAGCTGCCAGCCCAGCCCTGCTGAGGTCTCACAAGCTCCTGCTCTGCACCCTGGGGAGGCTGAGACTGCTCCAAGTGCATCTGGAAAGCTCCAGCTTCCCAGGGAAGGAAGGAAGCCACACCAAACTTGGCACCTACCATAAGCCCAGGCAGGAACAGGCTTCCGAGGCTCATTCTCATCATCTGTAGAATCACCACTGTTCAGATCTATCCCGTAGTTATTTTCATTTCCCTTTGGGGATCTGGATTTCTCTGTGCCTTTCAGGGGCCCCAAGTAGGATGTGTAGATGGGTTTCTGAAACCACAGAGACAGCGTTGATTGGAGCAGGATGCAGAGCTCCCAGCAGGGCAGGCTGACCCCAAGACCCAAGTAGCCAGACCCTCTGCAGGCCCCTGGGAGCTCTGGCACCAGCAGGACCAGCAGACAGTGCCCACAAGCTGCCTCCAGGCAGAACCTGAGCACGAGCTGAGGGAAGGGGTGAGACCCCAACACCACATTCACTGCAAAGGGAAAGGAGCCAGAAACAAGAGCTGGTAGGTGAGTGTCCACAGCAGATACATCCTTCACACTCATTTCCATCCCTAATCCAAAAGGCAGGAGAGCAAAAAAGGTCACCTACCCAGGTATGGGAAGCCTTTGATCCCCTTGTTCACTGCAACATCAGTCATTTTGCTACTTGACAGGTAACTTGGGTTGAGAGTTTTAGTGAAACTCAGAAATGCTCTCATTTGCACAAATATTTTGGCTTTTTCTTTTTCAACTGCCCTTTGGTGTGAAGCCTCCCCTGGCAGGCAGGCTGCAGCACAGCCAGGCTTGGGTCCCAAAGCTGGGAGGAACCCCCTGTCTTTGTGGTGAGGAACAGGGATGACCAGAAGATGTGACAGTCACCTGGATGAGCAGAGGGCCCAGAGGTGCTGGGCAGGGGGCACGGCAGGAAGGCAAGCCTGAATCCGTGGTAGTACACACACCCTGCACAAACAAAACCTCTCCCTGACTTGGTGACTTGTAACCCTTTTTTTCCTCCTGTCTCTTGCTGAAATGCCACAGATGAGCACCCCACGTGTGCCTGAGCCCTGGGCTTGGGCACTCAGGGCTCTGCTCTCACACTTTCACACGCTCCACAGCGGGTCGGGGTTCCTCTCTCTCAAGCTCCAACACGAGCCACAGCACAGAGAGGAGCAGGATGAGGAGCCTGTCAGCCCAAGACAGGGGTTTCCTGGTCTCCGGGCAGCCGTTTCTCCATCTCCCAGTTCCCAGGCTCCGCAGCCCCAGTTCAGCCCACAGAGACCCAGCCCAGCCCCCCGGGAGGCTCCCGCAGCGCCCCGTGACGCGCTGCCACCCCGGGGCCGTTCCCTGCACCTTGCCCAGGGTAAATCACTTGTTTTTCCATCAGGTTCCTCGGGCTCGGAGCTCTCGGGGCAGCACCAGGGCCAACAGACATCCCCATCCTCTGCACAGACGCCTGCTGAA